TTGATTGCTGCTTTCTTGTTCCTCCTTTCTTGAATCTTATCCAGTGTATCGACCGTGATCCAATCCTTGTGATGGTGCTTCTTTTGGCCCAGAACCTCATGACATGTTGAAGTGATTGCCTCTTTTATCTCTTTCCAGTTGCTCTCCATAGTAGTTCCTTCTCCATTGAGTAGATCATGAAAGGCTTGGAACTTATTGCTGAAGGTTATCTTGAATTTATTGAGTTTGTGATTATCCCGAAGAAGAGCCGTATTAAACTTTTGTGATATTGTCCTCCCCGTTGTCCAGTGTCTCTTGAGTTTCAATTTCATCTTGGCGACCAGCAAGTGATGATCTGATGCTATATCAGCTCCTCTCTTGGTTCTCACGTCCTCCATCGTCCTCCTGAACTTTTTGTTGATGCAGATATGGTCGATTTGGTTTTGCGTAGCTTCAAAGGTTACACTTAAGCAAAAAAGCTTAAAAAGTGATTGGTTTTATTCAAGATTTTTGTTATAATGCTCCAGTTACTTTCCTTTTTTTCTATCTTCCTTTCTTTTAAATTCAGAGCTTAGTATCATTCATTAGTTTTTAATTGTTGAATGTCATTCCGTTATAAGAATAAAATTATGACAACTACATGCTGTGATTAGAAGAGCAAATCAGAACATTTTGATTGGTCGATTTTCGTTTAATCAATCCTAATATTATTGTGAAAAAAAAGGAATGAACTCTTCTCTCATAATTTCGATATAAATTCTTATACTTTTATCATTATAATCTCATATTGTTTCGCTTATTAGGTATATATTTTGTTTCAATCTCATTCTTTTGTTGATTTGGAGATGAGTCGAATGAAGTGCTGTAGAGTAGTTTATTTATTTAAACACATGAATATCGGTACAAAGGGGCACTGAATACAAATGCGCCACATAAATTATATATATATATATATATATGGAAATAACTGTAAATATAAGTATCCTCTTCTATTTAACATTGAACCGTTCAACTTGGTTGAACAGGATTATCAATCCTTATTATCTCATATAGATTGTAAATGAAAGCCGAATATATAAACTTGTACTTGGTGCATGTTCTACATGCACTCAGAATCTAAATATTAGTAATAATGCCTAGAGTCAGTACGTTTCTCTCAATAATTATGATTTTGTTTTTCTTTTTAAATATCATGTCACATATTTGTTTCTATTATTCTTTCTGTCATTTACAATAGAATGATGAAATCAGTTGTCTCTCTGCATGGTTATTTAGTTAATCTTTGTTCGTCTTTAATTTTGTATATATGTGCATGAAATTATTAAGTCTATATATGATTGACTTAAATGTATATCTACTTGGTGTAGTCGCTTGTTTTTTCAAATTCTTAAACATTATTTAATAATCTTGACATTATCTGACAATTGTGAAGTGTTATGTGTGTTATCAGAAGTGTCTTCTTCTTTGTAAACTGATCAAATTGATTTAGTTAATTAAAAAATAAGTTTCCTGTTTGATTGATTGCTGGATGATTTATTTTTATGCAACTATGTTGTATTTCTTCACAATTTCATCGGAATCGGGTCCTCTAATATATGTAGTTTAATCGTCAAGCTTTCATTATCTATCTTGGTGTCATCGTCAAGAAAACTTCAAATAGGAGTAAGCTACAAATTTGAAGTTTGAGCTGATAATGTTGTCTATAAAGATAGTGGAAGTCTCACGATCAAGTTATTCAACTGAGAGAACAAAATTTCATTAAAATTATCCTCCACAGTTACAAGTCCTTACAACAATCTCAAAATTTATTAACAAGTTTTTTTTTAAAATAGATTTTTTTTACAGTTTCTCCCATCAGTAACTTTGTGTTTTTGTCTCATTCTATCTCTTGTCCCATTATTGTGTCGAAATAATCAATATTAGAGTGGATAAGTTTCTCTGTCTTCTCTTATTCTAAGCAATTTCCAACGAAATTCTGTACATTTCTAGTCAAAGTAAAACAAATATCAGTAGTCAGTGACAATCCTTATTTCTATTATGTACTATATGTTCTCAGGTATAGATGAGAATTATATATTCACAGTTGATGATAGTCTCTATCTAACATTGAAAAGTTAGCATGGGAATATTCAATGTATTAGAAAGTATTTATAATTGTCCAGTTGTATCATTAATATTGATAACTGACATTTTCATGAATTTTGCCACAAAAAATTTTTTTAAAATTAATCAGTCATTAATCAACTTAAAAGTAACTAATGTGTTAGCAATACTGTTATTTTTGTGTATATTTTGTTTAATATCCAAAGATTCTTATAAACAATATGTAATTAAAACATTGAATTCACGTTCAATGTACAATTCAGTTTGAACAATGATTTCTATAAATAAACTTGCCTCTTTATGCTTTTAAAATGATATCATGAATGGATGAATGTTAGATCATACTTGAAAACCTGAAAGTACTGGACGCGGTCGTATTATAATTACCTGTACATTAAATGTGATACACCTTAAATCTTATTTGTGTTGGGATTTTTTGCAACACAACTGAGTAGTAGTGTAGCAAGACTTAAATTCATTACTCACAAATGGTCTTGGATTTTGTTTTAACGGAAACCTATGAGATACATGAAAAAATCCATTTCATAATTATTCAAATAATTATACCTAGTTTTGATTCAAATAACTATACATTACTTCTGTATTTTCTAAGACTGACCTTTGTGTTGTTATATGATACGACTTACCATTGACTTTTAAACTTGGTTGACTTCAGTTATATTATATGATGATAAATAACTGTTAAATACTGTTATTTCACATTATGCTAGTTGTCTAAACATATCTCCCTATGGAAAATGCAAATAAAACAGGCAGATACATAGACCCTATTTAATTTGTGATTTGATTGTTCGCAATTTACTCCTTCGGTTTTTCAATTGACAGTTTTGAATAAACTATAGACATGATTATAATTAAAGTTGACAATGTTTATATATAGGAAATATAAGGTTTATCCGTCTTGTTTTATATCACATATTCCTAATAAATTAATTTTTAATATTTATAGGCATGACATTTTCAGTAGAAAAATACCTCATATGATTAACATAAATTTGTTTTGTATTTTAAATGATATACAACAATTCTATAGTAAACTATAATCACATGTGTTTACATAGATTTGTTTGTTAAGAAATAGTTGTTTATTTTTATTTGTTGTAAATATGCTTATATTTTCATACACAATAATTATAATTTGTTTTCAATATGATGATTATTTAAGGAGACAAAATATTAGTTTAAATCTTACAAGAATTTGAAGAGACAATTTATCATTTTTGATGGAGTTTTGTTCCCTGAACTGAACGGTTTAATCGTGGAGCCTTCATCGTTCTTCTGAATGATATCATTAGTAAAAACTTTAAAGAACAAAACTATCAAAATCATCCACCTGAACTATAAATCTTCTCCACTATCTCAAAAGAAAATTTATCAAGACCAAAGCAATGTATGATATACTAGTTGTTATTTACTCTGAACTAGTGACTTACATTAAGTCATGAAACATCAGAACTACAATTTTTTTTACTTACAAATTTGATATACTGGTTGGTTATAAAGAAGTAATAGGCTGAGTTAATACTCAGGTGATATAAATAATAATGATCATAACCCAATACTAATGCAGTAATTTAGAAACTTCTTCGTCACTGTAATTAGGTTGTGAGACGTAAGACAAAATTTCGCATAATAAGATTCCAATAAATCAAGTAACTTGTTAAGCTAAACGGTTTCATCTCAATTGTTTTATATTGTTTAAAAGTAATCTTCATCGGATAAAATGTCAATTGGAGACCACAACTTCATTAGACAATTAGTGTTTCGGATCCTTCAGTGGTACATATTCACCTTATGTAGGCCATACAATTATTTTAATCATCAATAATCATGTCACACTGAAGTGGCTTTGTCATTAGTTGATTACCAAAGTTTTAGTAAAAATTGTGACATCTACAGTCAATTAAATCAAAAGGTGAGCTGGTGAAGTCAGAGTGCTAGAATGAATGACAATTTCCATGCGTGATTTCCCCATATTAACATGGCAAGAACGATTGTTCTCTTATAATTTCACCTCCGTGCCTCTTCGGTGTATATATTGGTAAAGATTTTACAAATGGTGATGAATTTTCTCCAGAAGTATTTATAAGTGTTTGAAAGATTCAGGAAGAAAGTTTTAGACTGAATGTATCCATAATGAGATTAGATAGCTATATCTGTGCAATATTAGGATCGAAAAATCGACAACAAGTCTTGAAAAGCCAATAAATTGTAATAAGTTTTATGACTTGCGTTGAGAGATACCTTTGATTTAAGCAAGCTCTACAAATTCGCTGAAATAGTAAAGATTCTGTGGATGAAGATGAATTTTACCTAGAAGTATTTTTGGCCATTTTAAAGATTCGGGAACAAACTGTGGTCGTGAATAAATACAGAGTGAGGTTAAATTACGTTGTTTAATGATATTTCTGTGACACTAAGATGGGAAAACTGATAATAGGCGTTGAGAAGCCAATAGTTCTTATGCAATCCCGTAAACTGTATCAGGTTAGATAATTTGTATTGCAAAATACTTTTGATTAATACGAAGTCTTTCATTCACTGTATTGGTTATTTTTGCCATTCTAGTCCAAATTCATTTCTTTTCGCCACTTGTCATTCTCATGTATCATCGAATATCTGAAATATACGTTCTTCAATTCCTTTCACAGTCGACTTTTCGTATCTACGTTTTTATCAAAATACCTAAAAAGTAAATAGAATGTATTTCATTAATGTCAAAAGCATTCGATCGTTATATATAATGGGCGCTAAAATATTCAATTCCTGTATTAGAAGCGATACAACTATATAAAATTCATTCACTCTAAAGTAACACACACATACACTTGTATTCATTCTTGGAATAACATTTAAATTACTAATGACATATTGTTATATTTTTATTTCTTCATCAGATGTCACGTAATGTGGGCTACAAATGGATACCAATGGAAGATTTATACTTGCCCTCTGTTGTTTGGAATCATCAACCTCCTGATTCTACCGCGTGTTTCTATGAAATTCAAAATTCCTGTAGTCTAGATAGTGTTGATGATTAGTAAATATCACTAAAATCAATTGTTTTATCCATGTTTATCAGTGTTAATTATTATCATTAATTCTGTTGCATTACAACAGACCATTTTTCTCATATTTATATTTTATTTGTTTAACTAAATATCTTATTCTCGTTACTTTTCACGCACTATGCTCTGCATTTTCTGGTTTCGTTAACTTTTTTTTCTTAGTAAATATTTTAAGAGATACTTTTGACAATATCCTTTTTGTTGGTGCGCTAACTTCTCTGTTTCTTATCTTGTGATAGACTACTACAGATAAAAAGTAATATTCTTGATATCTAGACAGTTGGCTCATCATTCATTCTGATAGTCATCTAGTGTGTATTGTTTATTCGCATCTATTTTCTAATTCTTTTGTTCTTAAGTATACTTTCATATATGCTTTATAAAAAGTGGATGGGAAATTCACTTCACTGGTTCCTGGGACTACTTTTATCCATTATTCTGTGTAATGACGCTTTAAGATATCTCTTCATTCTATTCTTTGCATATATTCTTTTTGAAGTGTAGAGTATCTTTCCTTTTTTCGTCAGGCACACAATATATTTAGTTTTATATTTGTTCTGCTTATCTTTAACTTTTAGCTTATTGTCATTGTTGTGATTGTTTTCGTCACTGTATCATCTTCATATCTGCTTCAATGTGCATGTATTTTATTATTCACTGTTTTACTTACACGTTTAGCTTAGAAAATATCAATTATGTTTAATGGAGAAGGGAGGTTGGCAGAAAAGCAGAATATTTAAAATCCCTAGAAATTGGGGAGATATTCATTGTACCTTTTAAATTGTTTGTTATAAATATAAATGGCTTGTGTTCTTATCTTTCTTCTATATGAAAATAGTGTTCTGCGATACTGTCTAAACTACGTCAACTATTATATTATGTATGTAAGCTGGCGGATCTTGTGATAATCTTTTTCGGATGCAGGGTTTGAGTTGACGAGGATCAGTGAAGTGGATTCAGTCGTTTACTTTGATTATTGGGGTGGTCCACGTAGGATGCTAATGTTCCAAATTCAAACTGGTAAGCATTTTCGGACGAGTTTCATATTGGGGCATGGCTGAATATACAATAGACGAATTATGCTATTGTCTGATTGAGTGCAAGTTAAACTAAGTTGGATACTGATGGAGGCAAATTGAACATTTACTGCTCTGTTATGTTTTTAATTTGCTAGCTGGGTTTATTTGATGGGTTGTTTTTTTCATTTATGTAATCGAGTAAATAATTTCAATAATACAAACATCTGCATTTGGTAAAGACAATTCAATAGAAAGAGTGAACCACTTACTACAGTATCTCATCTCATTGCACCAGCTATTTTAGGAGGCTGCACAGTCTGTGAGTAATAGCTGTCTTTGCAAAATATTAACAAGAGAAACAACTAACCTGAATCTACAATAAGCGTTTTTACAGTTATTCGTGAAAATAATTGTTCGAGTGAACAGTAGTTTGTAAATTAGTGACGATACATAAATCCCCAAATCGGTAGCTACATATAAATTGTAAAGACTGGAAAAGTCCATGAACACATTGGTATATATATATGTTAAATCCGCGGTTCAACTATGCTTAATAATTATTCCGCCATATCACTGAGCTTTAGTACTGTATTGATACAAGTGTACATTACATAAAGTTCGAACATACTTGGAAAGTTATTTGCACCGAAAGCAAGGGTTGTGGATTAGACTAAAGCAACATTTCGGTAGGCAAGTTCTTACTTTCTTGAGGAGAAAACTAGTTAAGCTGATATCCCCTTTTTAGCCTTAAGTTTTTGTGAGAAACTGTGGTGATGACTAGTCTTACTGGGATTTTAGTTTTTACGGGATGTCCCGACACAACAGACTGAATTATTCCCTGAAGACTTTCATATATTCTCCAGCTCTAAGTGGATTTCAAGTTCGTTCATCTATCACCAAACATTATTTTGGTTGTTATCTCTTTGTTTTCATTGGTGTGTGCATGTTAGCATTGCTGAAAATCCCTCCATGTATATTCTCTGTGTGACAGAAGTCATTTGCTCCTTTTATGTACTGTAATACTTCTTTATTTTCTACAATAATGTATGTCGCGCTTATCATCTGGTTTATTCGAAGTTATTAATACTGACCTGTCCAGGCCGTTATAGCAGAACTCGGAAGTGTCGAAATTTTTACAGAGACTATCGTTATTTTTCTAAAAGCTAATAGAATAGCAGTCAACTATACGCCTGGCTTCTGACTAGTCACAAACAGAGAGGTCTCTTGTTTTATTTTCCTGAGTGTTCACCGTAGAAGACTTTGATCTAGAATGGGTTTCTTAAAAATATGTGGATTTTTAGTCGACACCATTCGAAATTTGATGTGACGTTTAGTTACACACTGGAGCAATCAAATGTTGTTTCTGGAAATCTGTCACAATCTTCTCCCGTAAAAACTGAAGTGCTTCAGGATACACCCGCGAAATTTCTAACTAAGGCCGGAGCGGATTCTCAGCTTTCCCTAGGTAAGCTTGAATTAACTCTCGTTGTTAAGTCGTATCTGTGTTTGGTATACCCAGCCTCCGGCAAAATAAAAGTCGTTAAAGTTGAATTCGACTATATGCTATAATTGGGTACTATCGGTACCTCTGATAAATAGCTGGTCTTAGTAAGACAAAGGTAACTCGTGGACCGTTCGTGGATTATAAAGCTACTAAAAGTCGAACTGAACCAGGCAGGAACCTCGTACCTGATACCCAAAATACCACATATCACCCACGGGTATGAACATATTCACTAAGATTGACTTAGTCAAGGCATTTCACAGTCTCTGGGGAAAATATTCCTAATACAACCATCACTATGGCCTTTGGGTTGATCGAGATTGAGCGTATGTTATTTGGACTACGAAACGTGGCATTAAAGTTCTAAAGATTTATGGACAAATCGCTTGGAGTTAGGTCCTTTCTACAGATATACGTCGATGATTCATCTATTAATGATTCTGACTTTTGATCACGTAAACAGCATGTGAGGACCTTACATTAACTGTTATATGAAAACAGAATGAAGGTAGATATTGTAAAATTTCTCAGGCACAACAAACACAGAATGAATCATATCGAATAAAATGTAGTTGGACTATATTACACGGTATTTCCTTCTGCATTCTTTCGGATAACTCAGGATTCTAGGTTTAACTTAACTCTGTCGTTGACTTACACCCGATTGTGCTGGACAAGTGCAGCCACTGACATATATGCTTAGGAAAAAGCAAACGTTTTAAGTTGGTTTATGAAAATATTAAGAATCTAACAAGTCTACAAGTTCGGAAACCTGTACTAACGTATTTAAACAACATAACCCTGTTTGCTTTAATTAAATGCGCTTCAGGCGAAGTGCTTGGTTTCTTTAATCAGCTGGCTGAAAACGTTACAGAACCGACTACGTTTATCATAAAGTACTGATTTCGGCAGAAATGAGATAATTAACTTTCGGAAGGAAGCATCTCGAATTTCTCTACTTATCAAGATTTGACAAAACAAGTTCATCACATCATACACGAATCAGAAATCATTTGTTAGCCCCCTGAAGCTGAAGGCTATAGGCGTTCGTCTCGAGAAATCAAGCACTTTGACTTCTATCCAAGTTTATCAGTGATGTACGATATTTCGTAGATAGGGATAGTCAGGCAATAGATGCATGACCTCGATTGGAAATGAAGTTAATCTAAAAAATGCCGACATATTTTCAAGATTAAAGAGAGAAAGGGAAAAGCATAAACTACATGATCTACTTTCAGCAAAGAACTTAAGTATCTGCTGTCACCTACGAACAATTGTTAGATCTCATGGTTCAACCAAAATGACGCATTAACGATTGATAGTTTTCACTTTTTTTCATCCTTGTACGATTGCTACTACCGAACTGATAATGCTAGTTAAATATGGCCGAATTCACAAACGATGTATACAAGTAGATTAGATAGTGTTCGGAGTGCCAACAGTAAAAGCTCAACAGCCATACGAATTCACCAATTACAGTTTTTCACAGTCAGATAAAAGTTTGCCTACGTTCATATTGATCTGACAGACAGTGTACAGCATTTCAATTGTTCGGATTACTTACTTACAAGCCAGGACAGGTATACGACAATTGTCAGCAGCCGTACCAATAACTAAGATAGCGGCCGAAGCTTTTATCCAGGGCTGGGTAATCTTTTTTATATACGCCCCTAACGATAATAAATGATGTATGGGCTCAAAATGAGACAGAAATATTCAAAAACCTATTGAGTATACTATAAGCTGACAGGCTATGATGCGTAACATATCACACACAGGCTTACTGGTTGGTTTGGTGTTTCCGTCGTCAATTAAAAGCTGCCCTAGTATCATGCTCAAACACCATTCAGTAAGCAGATTTCTCTCATAAGTTGTTTTGAGAACAAGAACAACTGTTAAAAATGATTCGCGTTGTTCATGACCCACGATAACTTCCAGAACGAAATCAAAACGTCTGGGTATTTTTATCAATCATTGTATTGGAAATGAAAGGCTCGAGGGAGGGAGTCACATGAACCGACTACGACATATAATGTACAATCTTTATGAGGTTTAAACTCGCGAGTAATTGAGAACTACATATATATCCGGAGGTTTGAACACTTGCTGACACATCTGGAGAAGTCTAACTAAGTAGGATTGTGAGATTACATTCTATTTCGCCGTTAGTATCACTATAATAATAAATATAATCCCAAAATTTTAGACTCGCCATATTGTGTTTACATAATCTATAAGTTTTTACATGAAAGTCTCATCATTTCGTACACGGATTCGTCCTGTCAAGACCATCAGCAATATAATGTCTAGAGCTTCTGCTGAACACGTTTAGTCTGGAGATATGACCGTATATTTTAATATGAATAATAGATAAGTTACACAAGAATGACCACCCCAGCAAGACTGAGCAATACCATCTTGAGTGAATCTATGTTCCCGCATTCATCACT